ACATACCCTTGATCGTTCTTGTGATTCTCCCCCTTCCCATTCCTCAGCCTTAAACCAGGTCCTGACTGTTTGTCTTCCCTAATGTGGCTATACAGCAGTTTCGGGTCAGATTTGACTTCGATGCAATGTCTTTTCCTACTGCGCTGGGCCTCCTCCTATCGTGCATACCTTTCTGCTCTTCTACTAATCTCCTGTTTTCCGGGTCCTATCTCCTGTACCTTTTCCTTTTCCTGTTGCACTAGTTTTGCCTCCCTACACTTCGGGTAAACCAAGGACTTCGTTTTGGTCTTCCTATTATTTCCTTTTCCTTGGGAACAAAACTTCTCTGCCTCCTTGCACTTTGTTGCCACCATATTCCATCCATCTGTTTAAATTTAATTTTCCACCTAGTTCTCTGTTCCACTGAAAGGGTCCTTGCAGGAAGTTTCCATACCTTGTAGTCTCCCTTTTTAGTTTTGGCCGTCCCCTTCAGTTCCTTGTTACCCTGACATTGGGGTAATTTCTATATTAGTCAAAACTCAGAACCACAATCGCTAGCTCCAAGGGCCTCTCATAGTGATGTCCTCATTCTGACTGTTTCAGGTGAACACAGACCAGTCTTGCTGCTCATCCTCCCCTCTCTCTCGGTTTGTTCCTGCATGTTTGATGCATGAGGTTTCCAAGTACCACCATCCATCATCTTGGCTCTCCATTTTTTCGGGACCCCCATGTGGCTCCAGGTTTTCCCAGACGATCTCCCTGTGGTTGAAATCGCCCATTACCAGTAACTTTGCTCTGCTCGAGGAGCTCTTCTTGCCACCTCAGCCAGTGTGTCACCATCACCCTGTTGTTTTCTTCGTACTCCTCTCTGGCCTCCTGCAGTTCTGTGGTGGGTTATACATCACTCCAATGACTACTTTATGTCCTCCGGACTGAATTGTACCTACAATGTACTCTCTTTCTCCAATCATGTCCTGCCTTCCATTTCCTCAAATCCCCATCGGTGTTTTATGAGCAGTGCAACCCCTCCTCCCCCTCTACTCCTTCTATCTTTCCTCAGGATCTGATATCCTGTTGGGAAGATTGTGTCTGTTATTGTCTCAGCGAGTTTTGTTTCTGTGACTGCTATATGTCTGGGGATTTTTCACTGATTCTTTCATTCCACTCCTCATGTTTATTCATTATTCCATCCGCTTTTTGTGTACCAAACCTTTAGTTTCTTTCTATCATTGTGGTCATGCAAGAATATTGGGGTTGGGGGAGCGAGAGCCTTGGTGGGGCCATATGGGGCTGTGGTGTAGGGGGGGGTTTGTGTTGATGGGGGTGGGGTCAGAATGCCCATAAGGGACAGCTGTTGGGGTGAGGTTTGTGATATGGGGATGGTGGCAGAGGGAACAGGAGTGGGTTGTAGTATGGGTTTGCTAAAGTTGCGTTGGGAATGTCGCGGGTGGAGTCTTTTGGGGGGAGTTTTCTGTGGGTGTTGTTTGCCCTTCCTCCTGTGTCTGGGTCCTGCTCATTTTCATTGCTTCTCGTTCCTCCTTGCGTCCCCTTTTACCCTCTCTTTCAGTGTAGTCCTTTCTTCTTGTGTTCTGTCGCGGTCGAGGTACTCTCTGGTACCCCTCTTTGTCCCCTCAGTCTTGCTTTCTCTTGCAGAATCCTGTTCGAACTGATTCTTCCTTGAAAGTTACTTGACAGGCCGTATCCTTTTCCACTCGGCAAACCACCCAATTCTCTGAAAATTTGTCACCTGGGTCATTTTGGGCCCTCCCCCTATTGTTTTCATGATGCCTTCAATCATTTTTTCTCCTCCTGTTTTTATCTTCAAAGTTGGCCCCCTTGGCTTCTTGGAGCCCGTACACAAAAAACTGACCTCGCCCTTTCCTCCTCCCACTGAGTCTCCACTGCGTCCTCTGAGGCATTTTATTTCCTTCCATTGACATGTTCTTGCCTTCAGGTCCCTTCAATTTTCAGAAACTTCTATTCTCAGGTGGACGTTTTCCTGACCAGCTGTCCCTTGCTACTGCATTTGGCTGTTAGAATCTCTGCATATAGCATACCTTCATTGTCTTCGGACCTGCCCGTTTGATCTTAGTGTGCTCGTCGTCTTTTCCCGGCCCCCACGTGGGTCTGATAGGGCCTTCATGTTCGGCATGTCCCGTTGTTGCTTACCATCCCCTTGTCTGCGCCTGACTTTGAATTTCCTGATGTCACAACCTGAATTGTCATTTGTCTCTCTAATCTGTTTCAGGCTTTGCAGTTTCTCTTCTAAGCACTGTATCCTAGCTTCTGCTGCTAAGACCTGTACTTCCCACTTCCTGCCTCTTCAGCTATCCGCTTCCTCCATTTTTTTTACCAAGCTCTACTATCTTCCTTCCACCACTCTTCCTCCCTTTTTTGGAGTCTAGCTCCCAGTCTTTCCCCCTGGTTCGCCCACCAGATCTCTGGGTTTTCCCTCCTCTAAGGCCACCCAATTTTTTTTTTTTTTTTTTTTTTTTTTTTTTTTTTTTTTTACTTTTTTTACCCCAGACAGAAGGCTGGAGGAGGGAGAGGGTGTGGGGGAGAGAGAGAGAGGGTAGAAAGAAGAGGGAGAGAAGGAGAGAGAAAGGGTAGAAAGAGGGAGAGAGAGGAGAGAGTATGGGGGTGAGGGATAAGACCCCAAAGGGGGGGGGAGAGGGAAATGTGAGGGGGAGAGAAAGGGTTAGAGAGAGGGAGAAAGAGAGGGGGAGGGAGAGAAAGAGAGAGAGAGGGAGAAAGGAGGGAAGAAGGCTATGAGAGAGAGAAACACGAGGGAGGGAAAAGGTAAGAGGTCTGTGGGGGAGGCAGTCAAATTCCAAGGATCACTGTGTTGTACTCACCTAGTTGTGGTTCCGGGGGCGAGACCCGCTCCTGGCCCGAGTGTGTATGTGTGTGCACGCGTGGTGGTTTGGGGTGTGAGCACGTCAGTTGTTTATATGTCCAGAAATACAATTCACTTCTGTGTATCCGTATATACAATGAGATACCACTAACACTGAGAGTAGTTCTAATTATAATACTAGCGTGTGTTAACAAGTCATTCTTTCCCCCCAGTATTGTACTACCTTTTTTCTACTTGTGTGTGTGTGTGTATGTGGGGTATGTGTGGTATGTGTGTGTATGTGTGTGTGTGCATGTATGTGTGTGTTGTGTATGTGTGTGTGTGTATGTGTGTGTATGTGTGTGGTGTGTGTGTGTGCGTGTGTGTGTGTGTGTGTGTGTGTGTGTGTTGTGTGTGTGTGTATGTGTTTGTGTGTTGTGTGTATGTATGTGTGTGTAGTGTGTGTGTGTGTGTGTTTTGTGTGTGTTTTGTATGTGTGTGTGTGTGTATGTGTGTGTATGGTGTGTGTGTGTGCGTGTGTGTATGTGTGTGTGTGTATGTGTGTATGTGTGTGTGTGTGTGTGTGTGTGTGTGTGTGTGTGTGTGTGTGTGTGTGTGTGTGTGCTTGTACATGCATGTGTAGTGTGACCTAACGTGTAAGCATGCGTAGCAAGATATACCTGTTATCTCACGTGTTTGAGACAGAAAAAAAAGACACCAGCAATCCTGCCATCACATAAAACATTACAGGGTTCCGTTTCACACTCACACGGAAGGGCGGTAGTACCTCCCTGGGTGGTTGCTGTCTACCATCCTACTACCTATACGATAGGAAATATCCCCACCATTTATGCAGAAATAGATGCTGGGTTCTTAGAAAAGCACCCTGTGGAGACAGTGGCACCCCTCCTCCAGGGAACTGGCCTCGTCCAAGGCACAAATCACGCCACCACATTAAGATGGTCCTACTTGGAGGGATATACAGTGATGAAACTCTTGCTAACTCCAACAATGTTGTAATCGCCTGCGTTTCCGTTATTCAGCAAAATATTTTAAGTCACCCGTAAATGTAGTGTCTATACCTATGTTTATCTATAACCATATCCGGTTTATTTCCATGCAGAAAGGTCTGTGCAGAGCTAAACTTGCAAAAAGACTTTCCACAGAAAAGCCTGCAGAAAGGTCTTTGCACACCCTAGCATGCAAAAATGTTTTCACACAGCCTAGACTGCAGAAAGATTTTTGCATGCCCTTGTCTGCAGAAAGGCCTCTGAACAGCCTAGCCTGCAGAAAGGCCTCTGAACAGCCTAGCCTGCAGAAAAGAACATTTCTTATATAAAATATATTAAGTTTCAGGTTACAAGTAAGAAATTAAACATATATTCAAATCTTTTAACATTAATTTATTAGTACAGTTTTAAGTATAGAAAAAAGTTTCAAACCTACTAAATATTTTTGTGAATTTTGTCAACTAAGTTCAGTCCAAAATTTCAAATACCTTGATTCCATGAATTTGGAATTTTAATCATTCAGATTTCTTAGATGGTTTTTGTTAGGCTGTGACATTAGAAGAGTTCACTTGTGAGACATTAGTCAAGGGAAAGATTAATTAGGGTGCCACCTAAGAGATTGGTTGTGGTGCTCCGTATGAGAGATTGGCTATAGCAAAAATCTATGAGATATTAGTTATGGTACCATCTATGAGATTAGTAATGGTATCATCTATGAGAGATTAGTGATGGTACCCTCTATGAGAGATTAGTAATGGTACCATCTATGGGAGTTTAGTAATGGTACGTACCATCTATGAGAGATTAGTAATGGTACATCTATGAGAGATTAGTAATGGTACCCCTCTATGAGAGATTAGTAATGGTACCAAACTATGAGAGATTAGTAATGGTACCATCTATGAGAGATTAGTAATGGTACCATCTATGAGAGATTAGTATTGGTACCATCTATGAGAGATTAGTAATGGTACCATCTATGAGAGATTAGTAATGGTACATCTATGAGAGATTAGTAATGGTACCATCTATGAGAGATTAGTAATGGTACCATCTATGAGAGATTAGTAATGGTACCATCTATGAGAAAATAGTAATGGAAACCCATCTATGAGAATTAGTATTGGTACCATCTATGGTTTATTAGAATGGTCCCATCTAAGAGATTATAATGTACCATCTATGAGAGATTAGTATTGGTACCATCTATGAGAGATTAGTAATGGTACCATCTATGAGAGATTAGTATTGGTACCATCTATGAGATATTAGTAATGGTACCATCTATGAGAGATTAGTAATGGTACCATCTATGAGAGATTAGTATTGGTACCATCTATGAGAGATTAGTAATGGTACCATCTATGAGAGATTAGTAATGGTACCATCTATGAGAGATTAGCATTGGTACCATCTATGAGAGATTAGTAATGGTACCATCTATGATAGATTATTAATGGTACCATCTATGAGAGATTAGTAATGGTACCATCTATGAGAGATTAGTATTGGTACCATCTATGAGAGATTAGTAATGGTACCATCTATGATAGATTATTAATGGTACCATCTATGAGAGATTAGTAATGGTACCATCTATGAGAGATTAGTAATGGTATCATCTATGAGAGATTAGTAATGGTACCATCTATGAGAGATTAGTAATGGTATCATCTATGAGAGATTAATAATGGTACCATCTATGATAGATTAGTAATGGTACCATCTGTGAGAGATTAGTTAAGGTGCCACCTACAAAACATTAGTTATAGTGCTACTTATTAAATTATTTACCCATATACATGGGGCCACCTAGTGAATACTTTACCTATGGTAACACATAAAGGAGATTATACGTAGCTATAGCAGTCAGATCACAGGTTTGATCACTGACTAGGTAGGATGAGACATGCAAGGGAGGAGGCAGGAAACAGATTAGTTGACCCATGTTGAGTCAGCAGGTTAACGGTCTTAGTAGGAAGCCCGCTGAACTCAGGTGAGAATGTAGGTGTCTTGCTCTGCTGGGGCTTGGCGAGGAGGTATACCTAGTCTGTTTGGGAACTTCTAGTGTCTGTTTTTATTTGCAAAGAGTCTCCTATGCCTTTTATCATTTAGATTTGGGCAAAATATCTCTGTACATCGGTAAACAGGGCTCTATACGATATAAACTGTTAATGGCCCTTACAAACCCAACAAGGGGGAGTCAGCAGGTCAGACGTCAAGTGGGTCAGCTAGGGATGAAAAACTATAATCATGTGGAAGGTACAGTGATGGTTAGGGACTGGAGAACCCATCAGGTCGTGTGGGTGGTGATCAGGGGCTCACGGTTGGTTCACCCTCAGGCTTGTTCTCCTCCATGTCAACCTCCAACATACAAAGAGGACTCTTTGCCTCCTGGCAGCTCTCATCACTGATATAGTAGAAGTGCTTGTAAGTCAGGGCGGAGCACCTGTGGACAAGGTTAGTCAGGTCATTGAAACTGTAAGGGTAAGGTTATTTTGGTACAAACTAAATTATATTTCATAGACTGTGCATAAATTTAATCCACAAAACAGCTTGTCTGCACACACTAAATGAATGAAACCAGCCAGTACCTCAGGCTAAAATAGAATACTGTACACAATTCACAAATAACTCGCACACAGGAGAGAAAAGCTTATGACGAAGTTTCGGTCCGACTTGGACCATTTACAAAGTCACACTGTATACAATTATATCACATGTAAGAGAAACAGATAGCTGGAATGATGCCCTAGAAAAAGATGTCAGAACTGACGTCGACTCAGACTAGAATACTCAGAGTTAAGCGCACATTACTATATTCGCGAACTGAAAAAACGAGACAGACAAGGCAACTGCTAAAATATTAGGAACATAGAAAATAAAGGTTATAGTAATTTATCAAGTAGACAGGATGTTTAAAGGAATATAAGGTCAAAATTTAAGAATATACACTGTTAATAGGGTCAGTAATACACGAAGGGAGGAAAAGCCAACAAGAGTCTACAAAGTAAGAGAGTTGCTCCCTCCTATCAAACAGAGGGAGATGGAAAGCAAGCCAAATAAAACATTTTTTTAATAAAAAAATTACAATTTTAAACAATACAGTTAAACTAATATTTTAAGCTAAAAAAAACAGAATAATTTGCCTAACAAACTAAACAGAAAATATACTTCGACTGATTAATTTTTTCAATATTAATTACCCAGGTTAAAGAAGAGACTAAGTAGGAAAGAAAGATAGAGTAAATTGTTGCTATTGTGTAAGTTACCGAAACTAAAACATTTTTTTTTAATTCTTAGTCCAGATGGCAGACTTACAATCATAAATGCATACAATCCGCCACTTAAACAAGTGAAAGAGAATAATTCGATACTGTACATGAGTAACTTTATAATACACTGAGAACTGTGCCAATGTACTGGTATCAGCTAATTTTAATGGTATTGGTTTCGGCCTAAAACTGAACGCTGGTATTGACAAAAAATTTTGGTATCGTCCCGTCACTAATTGAAACTGACTAAAAATCATTGTAAACGAGGCTTTATATATAAATACCCCTCAAGGGAGATTCCTTGATGCTGGTGAATGGCTCTTGATCTGAGGAATTGGATCTGTGCTCCAGTTCCCTGAATTGAGCCTGAATGCCTTCCACCCCCCCCCCACATGCGCTGTATAATCCTCTGGGTTTAGCGCTCCCCATGATTATAATTATAATAATATATATAAATAAGGAGCGGGTGGTGAGGTTTGTGGCTCAGTGGCAGCACCTTCCACCTATGGCTCACAAGCAAATAACCCGTGTTCAATCTTGGTGCGAGTGGAAATGTTGAGCCAATTCCCTCGTCCATGCTGGTCTGTTCACCTGGTGGTAAACAGGTACTCGAGTGGTAGCCCACTGTTGTGGGACCATCCTGAAGAAATGGGACAAAGGATTCCACTGGAAATAGCCACACTGATGACTTTCTTGGAATATCCTTCTTAAATTATTATTCATCATTTTGCGTGCAAGTGCAACTCACTCTCACCCTCTACAACTCACTCTCCCACACTGCTACAAAACATTCCAAAGCTCATTCCAATGCTTCAACGCATTACCAGACCACTTAAACATATTCCTATATCACATTTCCACCCTCCTGCAACACTTTTCCACCCTCCTACAACACATTCCCACCCTCTGACAACAGTTTCCCACCCTCCTGCAACACTTTCCCACCCTCCTGCAACACTTTCCCGCCTCTTACACTTTCCTACACTCCTGCAACACACTCCCACTTTCCTGCAACATATCAGGAGGGTTCCAGAGCCCAATCAGGGTACTCGAAATTGTCGACATTGCTTTTGGCCAACAAGCAAACTCTTCGTCATCCTTACATAACCAGAGAGACCCAACTTCTTGCCAAGTTGAGTGATGAGTCGAGATGAGAAAGCAGTATAGTTCTAGAAATAGTAACAGTGACTGAACTCACTTTCATGAAAATAATAAGTTATAGTAAACATCATTTGAGTAAGTCTTAAAAAGAGTCAGTATATAATATACTAGAAACACATCCAAATTGTTTCATTATTTCGATGATGGAATACTCAATTAGGCATCTATGAGGTCAGGGCTATCTTCTCGTCCACTTGAAAGAAAATCTATCTAATGTGATATTTGATATGGGATCTGGGTGTGTTGCATGCATGAAAAAATCAACCACACTACATTACTGTAACACATCAACTGGAAATTTAGAAACAAATATATGCTAGAATAACTAATAAAGACGGAACGTCAAGACTGTAGCTGTGCTCCTGTAATTACTGAGGTAATATATAAAAATAGTACGGGAGGAAAACTGTACATACATGAAATATAGTATATTACGTACGTGAAGCAAAGATATAACAGCATAATACCCTTTTAAAACAATGTTTTTAAAAGTAACTTAGTATAAAAACAGAACAATACTTCATGAACATGTCATAACCAGCATTTCATGATCCATATGTCATGCACATTTGATATGACAAGAGCATCACTTCACCATTGCATGACTTTTCCTTTAGCTAGGCACAGGCCAGGACTTACAGTCTTAACTTTCATAAACTAGTGCCTCCCCATCCCAGCAAGGAATGGCATTTCCCTGTCACAGAGGCTGGAAAAAGTATTGATATACACCCATCTAAGGGTCTAGAGTCATGACCACAAGGCACATGAGGGAGGTATTTAACCATCATTTGCCTAAATGTATGAATCAGTTAAATTTTTGAAAACCCTCTCAGGAAATTTGTGTATTCCAGAAATTAGCTTAAACTGTATTAGAAACTAACACTGCCTCAGCGAGAATCTTAGAGACTACTAAATCGCAAGTGACTTCTTTGGGGCTAGATACATTACCATCCTTCCTGGCGGTTCTCGGGTGCCTGCGTATACTCGTAGCAGGTGGCACCAGGCAGCGCAGCAGGTGGGTCGCTGAAGGGATCAGTATGAGGTGGAGGACGCGGGGTGCATGTGCTAATGTGCCTGTAATGACATGCAACACATCAATTCAATTCAATAGTTTATTTGGACATGATACATAGTTGTACAAGGAATTATAGTAGTTGGGTGTACATGCCAAAAGCCCCTTGTATGCAGAGCATTATGGGCAGGCTTAAAATTAACTTAAGATTAACTAAGCAATGATAGATTCAGTGGTAAAAATTACAGTAAACAATTTACAATAAGAAGTACAAATGAATATTTTAAACAATGAAATTTGAACATTTCGATTATGAAGCATTATAGTTGTACAAAATTGTAGCATTACAATGTATAATATAACAAAATGATCAATTTACTATAAGTAGTCATACAATTTATTAATCCATGGGTTATTCTTCGGGAAAGTACTAGCATAAATGTTTTCTTAAACCATGTGAACAGTCACACGTGACAAATCACAAGACATGAATTTAGAAAAACTAACTTCTCAGCCGAGTAGGGAGAGCCTAGGAGCCCTAACCTCTCAGCCCAGTAAGGAGAGCCCATGGGCACTAACCTCTCAGCCCAGTAAGGAGAGCCCATGGGCACTAACCTCTCAGCCCAATAAGGAGACCCCATGGGCACTAACCTCTTGGCCCAGTAAGGGAAGCCTAGGGGCAGTAAGAAGAGCCCTGAGGCACTAACCTCTCAGCCCAGAAAGGAGAGCCCAGGGGCATGGTGGAGTCATCCACGGTCCACGACCAAGCATTAGTATCTAAGTCGAAGCGACCTCCGATCCAGTAATCCGATGTCAGCACTGTAAGACCACATAATATTTAGTCCGAGGAATATACTTATATTTTTCTTATATATACACGATGCTCTGTGTAATATAAGTTAGCAATATACTCTTGAGAGTACTTTGCAGCCAGTGAAAGCACTACTTTAACTAGAAATATTAAAACAGTTATTCCTTCAATGGAGGTGGATAAATACGGGAAAGAAAGCAGTCAACAACCTTTCATTGGATCAAACCAAATTATCTTTCATTTCCCAGAGCTATATGACCCCTTACATTATATAAATATATAAATATAATACAGGCAATAATAATTAAATATGTTATTAGCGATGTGTTTATTGTGATTCTGAAATGGCAAAGAAATGAATATCGGAAATGCTTGGCAAGGTTACAGACTTAACTTTCTGATGAAGGTAGAGTAAAGGAGAACTTGTTGGTCGAAATGGTTGTATGTAGATGACGTCCCTTTAATTTCTACCAGACATTTTGCCCTCATGATTTCAGATCCAAGTATTTATAGTGTTACTGGGCTGTGTAAGTGACTGTGATAATTTTATTAAGCAAACTTGGATATCGATTTCAAAGTAATAACTCAAGAATAACTTTTCTGATTGGCTTCAAACTTTTGCTGTTAATATTTCATACCTATTGAAAAGTATGGTTTGATTTTGCCAGTTTTAACGAACAATTTAACATTGTTGTATCCTAACTAATATTAGATTCAGAATTTCATTATGCTTTGTACATGTCAATTTGCCAATTTTATTTAAAACAATTGGTTTACGATACAAATACCATGTCATGCTTGTCAGTCTATGCGACACAGCCACCACATTTCACTGCGTCATTCACAAGGTGATTGGACGATTGGAGTGGAGTCCTATTGCATGACAATGGCAGTGGTACGTGAAACCTTGAGTAAACATTGAAGTAATCTCGAAAATTTAATCACCAGATTGAATTCTTATGGCTTAGCCATAAACTTATCGTATGGCTTAACAATAAACTTATCAAAGACCATATTTGCAGAACTACAATAACTTTTCTAAGCCTTACTGCAGGGCAAGGAAAAATTAGCACCAAAAATGATTAAGATAGAGGCTATTCTCAATTATGAAATCTCTAAGGATAGAATATATCTTCGGCAATATCTGGGAAATTATTCTCAGGTTGCAGCCTCCATTTTTACCTCTCTTATTAGTCGAAAAGTTCAGCTTAAATGGACAGCTAAATGGGGATTAAGGGGCACGTAAGTTCCCCAGTCTTCTAATAACATGTTCATTTTCCACTATAATCTGAGCTTTGCTCGGACCTCTCCAACACTATTGTCCTCAAAGAGTTAAGTTATACCATGAATTAAGGAAAGATCCTGGACTTCATCTTACGGAACAAAGCAAATGCGATAGTAATTATGGTCAAGGTAAATTATAGTGGAAAAATGAACATGTTATTAAAAGACGGAGGAACTTACGTGCCTCTTAATAAAATGAAAGCCTTTCTGTGCAGCTCTCTACAAATCTCGCCTGGTTATCAGAAAACTTCAATTTTGATGAGACTTTCATCATTAATATTTTCTTTTATTAACACATTGGTGATTTCCCACTAAGGCAGGTGACCCGAAAAAAAGAATAAGCAGTTTCATCATTAATTCCATCACTGTCTGGCCAGAGGTGTGCCTACATTACAGTTAAAAAAGCTGCAGCACATCACCCCTCCTTCAGAGCACAGACACTGTACTTCCCACCTCCGGGACTCAGAGTCCGGCTAACCGATTTCCCTGAATCTCTTCATAAATGTTGCTTTGCTCGCACTCCAACAGCACGTCAAGTCATAAAAAAACATTCGCCTCCACTCGTTCCTATCTAACACGTCCACAAACGCTTGCTGGAAGTCTAAGCCCCTCGCACACAGAAACCTTTACCCCCTCCTTCCAACCTTTCCTACCCCTCAAGGAAGGCTCCTTGACGCTGGTGAAGGGCTCTTGATCTAGAAAATTAAATCTGTACTCCAGTTTCCTGAATTGTGCCTGAATGCTTTCCACCCCCCCCCCTCCACAGGTGCTGTATAATCCCTACGGGTTTAGAGCTTCCCGTGATAAATAATAATAATAATAATCCAACCTTTCCGAGGACGACCCCTACCCCGCCATCAGGACCGTCATTCTCACCCCAAATATTGGATCAAAAATCATAATTATTAAAGCACTACAATAAAACGAAACATTTGGAAGAAATCACAAAACATCCTTCCAGACTGCACCACATTTAACTTGCGCTGGTAAGTAATTATCTCTACTGGAGAAGTGACAACTTGGTGTGTATGTGAGGACCTTGTCAACGTCCTTCTGGCTGTGTATAAAAATATGCAGTCCACCTGTCTTTCCCTTCATGCCTAATCATAATTATTGATCACATAAACCACCAGGCAGAAGAGGTGGGTGAATTGGACCTGCCTTACATAGGCCAGTAGGCCTGCTGCAGTGTTCTTTCTTATGTTCTTATGTTTTTTTGCTGCCTCACTCTTATCAGTCCTATTAATGATAAACTTTTAAAATTACCTAACTTATATATTAATATGACATAATAAATATTAAAATGTACTGCTCCACAACCTGTGTCAATATATATCATAGTCAGCAAGAATTAGGATTAGTCTGCCCGAAATGGCTAGGCATCCTAGTGGATTTCTTTGTAATTAATATTTTGTAACATGTAAACCACATATTGTAAGCTTCGAAAGGAAATAATTTTTTTTATTTTCAATACTGAAGCAGTGGTATTGTTTTTGTTGTTGATGCTGCCAGTTCTATGTTATTATTATTATTATTATTATTATTATTATTATTATTATTATTATTATTATTATTATTATTATTATATTATTATAATCAAGGGGGGATGTGGAAGGCATTCAGGCTTAATTCGGGGAACTGGAGCACAGATCCAATTCCCTAAATCAAGAACCCCTCACCAACATCAAGGAACCTTCCTTGAGGGGTGCCAGTTCTATGTTGCTTAAATTATTATAAATGCATCTTGGATTAGATGATACACTGTCACGGTCCACTCATGACCTATAAACATTATGCATTTTCTTATTATTTTTCCTTTTAAATTATGAATCTTAAAACTACATTTAAAAAAGCAATATATTGAATACAGGCTAAAAATTATGCAATGCTCCTGATATAGTTCATTTTCAGCGTCTTTAGAAACGGTATTAATAAAAATATGCATAAGGGTTTAGAATTGCTTTTTGCTTTTGTAATTAAAATTATATTATTCAGAATAATAATGGTTAAATATGAAGTTAATAATAAAAATAATTCTCACTTGACGCTCTCATGTACTGCAGCAGATGTCCCAAATCCGCTAAGTCATCAAGTTTCAACAGGTCGCCATAGATGGACCTGCAGAACTGTCTGGCTTCTGGCCACGACACCTGCCGAAGATATCATCATTAAGATGTACAACTGTGATGGCGATGTTTTGGCAGGATAAACAATTTCTCCTTAATCAGGTATCAGTCACATAATGGTCCACTCAACTGAGCTGTTGAGTCATTCGACCAAGGTCTTCCACTGGCTTACCTGACTACCCCTTAAAATATTAAAGATTACAGCACAAAATGTTTTTCAGGCCCCAGAAAATGAGAAAATAGAAATCATGCCCACATATGCAACACCTGCACTCAATTAATGGAACTTTGTAGTTATGAAGAAGTTCCAAATATCACCAGTATGTTCATTCTGTTCACTCAGAGTATTTTGAAGGAAAAGCTGGCAACCCAAAACACATAACATACATACATTATATATATTTTGTTTCAACAAACAGGGTGACCTAAAAAAGAAAAACTTGACCAGATTCTAGTAAAAGGAGAAGAATTATGTTCAACTTAGAAGTGATTTATTTTCATAAGGTTGACCTGCCATAGTCAGGTCAGCTCCCGTGTAGGTAGCGTCAGTGTTAATCACCAGCTGATATTATCAAACAGCTGATTCTTCCACCAGCTGATCATCAGCTGATACTCCCTCAGCTAATATTATCAAACAGCTGATCATCAGCTGATGGTTTCTTCATTTATGGAAGTGAAGCTACTCTTAAAATCAATATACATACAGTATATACACATACATGCATAAGCATGTATGCACACACAAATTTTATATACGCACATACACGCCATACATACAGAAATACATACCCATTCCCCAGGCGTTCTATGGTTCTTATGGGTTTAGCGTTTCCTAACAAATATAACTGCAGTGGTCGGGCGAGATTTAACAGTGACAGGACTCAGGTGGAAGCAAAATACACAGTTCAGCTAAATGAGCAAAATAGGGATTTTTTCTTAGTAAACTATTATTAGCTAAGAAATATAACTCCTTATGAAGCCAGTTACTGAAGGGACACTAGATACAAAGATTCAAGACTAGGTTTGATAGAGCCCAAGACGTTTGAAAATAACTACATAAGCTAGATGAAGTATAAACACACACACACACACACACCCAAAACACACACACACACACACACACACAGACACCACACACACACACACACACACACACCACACCACAAAAAAAAATATATCAGGCCAAATGACTATTAACAAGTGCGTTTCACAACTAGTAACTACATATATGTTTGTGTAAGACTATTCATTGCGAGTCCCTTGATAACTTTATGAACACTGTATACGCCTACGAAGAAAATATTGCCAGTTTTTGTTTAATCCTAAACTGGATGACTCATCTTCGTGAGAGGAGAAAAGAGCGACGTAACTGACCTTAGCAGCAGAGAAAAGTGAGAGGCAGCGGTCACCGACGTACGTGTAGAGCAATGGACAGTTCCTTTTCTTGTTTTGTAGAGTAGAGTTGACGGCGGTGGCGAACAACGTCACGAGTTCGCTTGCTGAGGAGGAAGGAGGGAAGGTAAACATTACTGTTATTATTATTATTATTATTATTATTATTATTATTATTATTATTATTATTATTATTATTATTATTATTATTATATTATTATTATTATTTCAGGAGTCCGTGGGCAAGTGTGAGCAGGACGTACTTAGCTTGGGCCAGTAGGCCTGCTGCAGTGCTCCTTCTTTCTTATGCACTTACGTACAGTCCCGGGGGAATGGTATTATTACAATTATAACTAAGCAATAAACCCACAAGGGTCATACAGTGCTACTGGGGAATGGGAAGGAATCAGATACGATCCAAGGAGAGGACAAGTCCAATTCCTTGAATTAAAAGCGTCTAACCAGCAACAAGAAGTAGAATTAACTTTAAAGTCATTCTTTATATTTGATCGTCTCTCAAGAAGAATAAATTTTAACGATAAAAAAGTTGTTTAGCAGATTCTTAAGTACTGAGGAACACTGATATGGTGATGCAGCCTCCTGTAAATTTGTCTTTTTTAAAAATTGCCTCGTGGAATGGAGACCAGGACGAGTAGGTTAAATCTATTGAGATCATTTTCACTGTCCTTCAAGTAATCACTTGTTTATATCATTTACAAGCACATGATGCTGCCAGATACTAAAAGCTGGGACTGAAGAGGAACTGGCTACAATGTACTGTAAGTACCAGTTGTATATGAAGCATACATAAGGAGGAAGTGCCTCTGCATACCCTCTAATGATCCGTATGGCGTATTGGGAAATATTATAATATATATAAATATAATATTATAATATATATTTTATATTATATAATATTATATATATTATATATATATATATATAATATTATATATATATATATATATGTCGTGCCGAATAGGCAGAACTTGCGATCTTGGCTTAAATAGCAACGTTCATCTTGCCATATAGGACAAGTGAAAATTTGTGTATGCAATAATTTCGCCAAAATCATTCTTAACCTAACGAAAAAAAAATATATTTCACTGTGTTTGTTTAGTATTAAATTACTGTAAACAAATCTAAAATATTTTAGTTGGGTTAGGCTAAAATAAATATATCTTGTTATAATAAGGTTAGGTAAGTTTTCTAAGATTCTTTTGGTGCAAAATTAAAAATTTTGACATTAACATTAATGAAAAACATATATATTTAAACGTATAAGAGAAAATTTTAGAAAGGATTTAATTTTAAATGAGTTCTTGCTAATTGACCAGTTTTACATATTCAACACACCGGCCGTATCCCACCGAGGCGGGGTGGCCCAAAAGGAAAACCGAAAGTTTCTCCTTTTACATCTAGTAATATATACAGGAGAATGGGTTACTAGCCCCTGGCTCCCGGCATTTTAGTCGCCTCTTACAACACGCATGGCTTACGGAGGAAGAATTCTGTTCCACTTCCCCATGGAGATAAGAGAAAATAAACAAGAATAAGAACTAGAAAGAAAATAGAAGAAAACCCAGAGGGGTGTGTATATATATGCTTGTACATGTATGTGTCGTGTGACCTAAGTGTAAGTAGAAGTAGCAAGACGTACCTGAAATCTTGCATGTTCATGAGACAGAAAAAAGGACACCAGCAATCCTACCATCATGTAAAACAATTACAGGCTTTCGTTTTAACACTCACTTGGCAGGACGGTAGTACCTCCCTGGTGTGGTTGCTGTCTACCAACCTACTACCTATAATATATATTATATATATATATATATATATATATATATAAATATATATATAAATATATATGATATATATGTTTATTATAATAGACATACGACCATTGATACCATAAGTAAGAAATGGTTATAACTATGACCATAATTTTTAAAGGGGTGGATCGGTAAGCCAGCGGAAGGGCTCGGTCAGATGACCAAAAGCTCCAACAGCGGGTCATTATCTGACTAAAACCTGCGTCAGGAAGCACTTGCCCTGTTTCCTGACAAACCTTATCTGATACTATAATTCATGCCTACGCAACACGCTTACTCTCGACACAATAACAAAAGCTTACCCTAAAAAGGCGTATGAAAGTATTTACAATTACTCCTGGGTTAGGTCCATGCAGAAAAATGTCCGTTGGGTTATATAGCTCACTGCAGGAGTAAAATTCTTTGGTTCGTTAGCTTCCTGCAGAAGTAATATTTGTTAATCTAGCTCACAGCTGGAGCAACATATGTGGGTTAGTTAACTCCTTGTAGAAATAACATGCATGGGTTAGCTTCCTATTGAAATAACTTGCATGTGTTGGCTTTCTATTGAATTAACATGCATGTGTTAACTTCCTGTAGAATTAAAATGCATGGGTTAGCTCCCTAGAGAAGTAACATGCATGGGTTAGTTAGCTCCCTGTATGTAAGGTGAGCGCCATTAACCTTATTTGCATCTAGTGTAACTAGTGGTGTGGTAGTCTGTATACCTCGCCTGCCAACGTCATCTGTAGCTTTAAGCCCGATATGTTCAGTTTGACTTCTGCCTATTTCAGTCTAATTTCTCTCTTACTTGTATTCTTTACCTGTTTAGCTAAAAGAAAAAAGCGTCGGCCATCACTTGTCAAATCCTCATAAATGCTCTCAAGTTTCCTGGTTTTTCTCAGCAATGTCTTCAGTTACTTCTCTGATGTCACCGCCTATTTGATTTGGCCTTAAGCAACTTGTTATTAATAAGTGTAATCTATTCTCACATGTGTCACTTTTCATTTTAACCCACAGGTCTGTTTCGTCAACCGGTTAGTGAACTGATTGGCCTGGAGAGGGATTAGTTACTGAAACTACCGTGGAGAAGCAGCCATCACTTAGCTGTCTCCCCTTCAGATATATTCATCAGAGGCAACAGCAACTAATCCAGTTGCTGTTCCTGAGGAAATATGGTAGAAGGTAGATTGACAGAGAGCCCTCTACCAAGGCTGCTCTATCAACCAGCCCTCCACCACGGCTGCTCTACCACCTCACCAATTGCTGACCAATTACCACCACATCTTCATCCTTTCCTCCAGGAACATCCACCTGTCAATCATCGCTCCTTAGGCTGTCCCTTGACTCATTAGCAAAAATATTAACAACAGACCTTGCTGTATTGCCTAATTTCACGATCTTACTTTATTTTTGTGTCCTTTTATTTAAGTTTTAAATTATTGTTTCCCGTTTGAAATAAAATGGTGTTAAATCACGCTCTAATTTTACCCTGATTGATATTAAATGTTTTTTAGTTAGTAATTTTCCAGAAAAGGAAGATATAAATCACTTTACCCTGAGACTATAGAAGTAATATTTGTAGCTTAGATAATTCCATACAGAAGTAACATTTTTAGGTTAGTTAGCTCCATGTAGAAGTAACATTTGTGGATTAACTAGCTCTGCAGAAGTTATGTTAAAAGGGTTATTTAGATCATTGTAGAAGTAAAATTCGTGGGTTAATTTTTGTGGCCTGTAGCCAACAGTGAAATGTTAACTCACTCATGTTCATGCTTTTGGGCGGCAGTGCCAGCTTCCTCTGTTTAATTATCTGTTGAAATTAAAACGAGTTATCCACTGCAGTGAGTGTGAGGGAGTGAGTACTCAAGAGTACTCTCCTATTTGTGATTGTAGTGTACGAGTCTCAGCTTTCAGTCACCCTTCCCCGTCCTCTTCAGCTGGATGTTACCAAGTTCACTCCTGGGTGGTGTGTGGATCCTGTCACTTGTGTTCTTAAAGCTGTGTGTGTGTGTTAGTGTGTGTGTGTGTGTGTGTGTGTGTGTGTGTGTGTGTGTGTGTGTTGTGGTGTGTGTGTGGTGTGTGTGTGTGTGTGTGTGTGTTGTGTGTGTGTGTGTTGTGTGTGTGTGTGTGGTGTGTGTGTGTGGTGTGTTTGTGTGTGTGGTGTGTGTGTGTGTGTGTGTTGTGTGTGTGTTTTAGGTGTGTGTGTGTGTGTGTTGTTTTAGTGTGTGTGTTAGTGTGTGTTGTGTGTTAGTGTGTGTGTGTGTTGTGTGTGTGGGGTTAGTGTGTGTGTGTGTGTGTTTTGTGTGTGTGTGTTAGTGTGTGTGTGTGTGTTTTGTGTGTGTGTGTTGTGTGTGTGTGTGTGTGTGTGTGTGTGTGTAGTGTGGTGTGTGTGTGTGTGTTTTGTGTGTGTGTGTGTGTGTGTTTTGTGTGTGTGTGTGTAGGGGTGTGTGTGTTTGTGTTGTGTGTGTTAGTGGTGTTGTTGTGTGTGTGTTGTGTGTGTTGTGTGTGTGTTGTGTGTGTGTGTGTGTGTGTGTTGTGTGTGTGTGTGTGTGTGTGTGTGTGTGTGTGTGTGTGTGTGTGTGTGTGTGTGTGTTGTGTGTGTGTGTTTAAGTACGAGATTACATGGTTAATACAGACATCCAAGTGTTGGACAAGTGTCTCGTTCATGAAGTTTTTTTAATGTTATTATACATGGACAATTCTATTTATTATTATACATGGGTACAATTCTTTTATTATTATTATTATTATTATTATACATGGGTTTAAATTAATTTTACCTTTTCCTCTCAAAATTTAAATTGAACAAATTAAAATGAGAAAACTATACAGTTATTTAAGCACATGAGAAATATAATATTTACATTCATTATGTATCTCTTTGCCATAAGCATTTCTAGCGTCCTAAATTCAAAATATATTCGAGTCAAATTTCAACACTAATAAAACATTTTGACAAATTTCATTCATTAATAAAGACAAGAGGTGTACATTGTCCTCTTCCCTTGCTGTGTGACCCTCTCGGGTTGAATTCTTTTGATTAATTTATTAGTTTATTATTCTTTTCTCTAGGAAAATGATAATCAGACAAGCGCTAAACTCGTAGGGATCATACACTTGGGGAATGGAAAGCAATAAGGTATGATCTAAATGAAGGGTAGCTCCAGTTCTTTTGATTAAGAGCCCTTCAACATTACTAAACACTCTTTGAAGGGACAGATGTTGACAAGACATGTCACTAGTACTCACCTGACAAATACGAGAGTCGACGGGGCACTCAGACATTCTGTTACAAGCATTTTCAAATGAGTAGCACCCTGAATTACAGTACACATTCCCACTGCTGCAATACTGTTGTGTGTGCTTCCAAAACTGTAACAATAAGCAAAAAATAATTAAATACATGATGAAGTCACAGCATAACTCTTATGTTCAGTGAGCTGGTAATTAGACTGAAGATTAGGAACCATAATAAATTTTTAACGAGCGAGACCCCATTCATGCCCAGTATCTCTGTAACTTATAATGTAAGTCTGAATTTACACTTGACCTTGAAGATGGTAATGATAACACATTCATGAATTCAACCCCAGGCCCAGACTCTTGCAACTCTATATTACTCAGAAATTGAAAAACAAAAAACTATCACATGCTGTAAATCTCTCATGGAGACAATCTTGACTGGTGTCATGACGCGGTTACCAAAAAACACTATTATATCTCCTCTTCAAGAAGATGGCTGTAAAGCACTTTCATAAACTTTATATCGACACCTTTAACGTCACTTATCATCAGAGTCCTTGAGTGCAAAGCTTATAACAGTAATAGCAGTTGTGACATTCAGAGAACATGTTGACCTCGGAGGTCACTCAGTACTCGTAGGCATTAACAAATATCCACGAAGCAATAAAAATCAGCAAACAATCAAAGCAATATGTAATATAGCCTGGTCAGAGACCGGGTCGCGGGGGCGTTGACCCCCGAAACCCTCTCCAGTTATACAAATAAAGACTATCATACCAAGTAATAAAGAAAACATCACTAATAAAACCTATTGAATTCTTAATGTCAAAGGGCCCTACGGGTACCTCGCTAATTATGAAAAGCATGACGAAGGCGGAGAGGCTTAAGTCGAGGGCAAGAAGTAAGCTTGTTAAATATATGCAGTCAATTAAAATACTCGGAGCAACGTTGTTTTAAAGCAGGTTGCTCCTGCCTCTGTTAAAACCTGAGTAGTTACTGTACCTTACAGATGGAGGGATCCTCGTCAGAGCCGTCACTGCACTGATTCCCGGAGGAGCACACATAATTGATGTTGATGCACCGACCACCAGTCTTACACTCTACCTGACCAGAGCTGCACCTCGACCCCTCAACTCCTGCTGGGTAAAGATAAACGTTCTACTGTACACTTCTAACGAGGCTGTTACTTTAATTTTTTTTTTTTGTGATTGATACACAAATAACCCGCACATAGAAGAGTGGAGCTTACGACGACGTTTCGGTCCGACTTGGACCATTTACAAAGTCACACTAACCAGAAGTGGAGCAGGACGGTTATATATAGGCAGGAAGTAGTGGTGGTAGTGGTAGTAGTAGTAGTGGTGGTAGTAGTGGGGAACTAAGGAGGAGGAGCCAGTCAAATATAAAGAAAGGGGAGCACTGCAAGGGAGCTAGATGCCCACAGAGGGAGAGCAAGTGCACAGAGGTGGGGGGAAGGGAAAGTGATGAAATAAATAATGAAGGAACAGAAACACGCGACAGAAGAAAGACAAAAAGGAAAGAGGAAGGGGGAAGAGGGAGAAGAAGAAAAAATGAGGAATCAGGTTAAGTCACGGGTGTTCTGAAGTTTGGAGCATTTTACAATGTAGTGGGAGAGGAAGGCATCTACAGAGACGAAGCCAGGACTAAGATCCATACAAGGAAAGTTGTGTATTAGGGAGGATTCAACAAGACGGCGACTGTTGAAGTTGGAAGTAGGGAAGACAGTTTTAGCAGAAGACCAGTCTATAGGATGACTGTGATCTCTGACGTGACAGAAAAGAGCATTGTTAGTGTCGGCAAGACTAACACTATTTTTGTGCTCCCTAAGTCTGTCGGAAAGAGATCGGGCAGTTTCTCCAAAGTATTAAAGAGGACAGGAGGAGCAAGAAATAGAGTAGACACCAGGAACATCTGTAGAGGGAGGAGAGGTATGAACGAGATTAGTGCGAAGAGTGTTAGTCTGGCGGAAAGTAAGCTTGATGTCTAAGGGACGGAGAGAATTGTTGAGATTAGAAAGACCGGAAATGTAGGGAAGGCAGAGGACAGAAGAGTTCCCAGGAGTAGAGAGTTTGGGAGAGAAGAAATTACGTTTAGCTCGTGAGAAGGCAGAGTCTATGAAATGGGAAGGGTAGCCAAGACGGGAAAACGAATTATGAAGAGTGGAAATTTCTGCTGGAAGGGACTGAGGATCACAGATGCGGAGAGCATGGAGAAAGAGGGAGATAAGAACACTTTTCTTGACAGGGGAAGCATGATAGGAAAAGTAGTGAATGTACATGCCACTGTGCATAGGTTTTCGGTAAACGGAAAAGGCAAAACCTGTATCTGAGCGGTGGACATGGACATCAAGGAAAGGAAGCGAGGAATTAGATTCCCATTCAGCTTTAAACTTAATGGAAGGGGCAAGATTATTAAGAGCTTCAAGAAAATGTTGGAAGAGATTGGAGTCATGAGGCCACAGAGCAAAGATATCATCCACATAGCGGAGCCAGAGTGAAGGTTGCACATCGATGGTAGGAAGAAGAACAGTCTCGAAGTATTCCATGTAAAGATTAGCAAGGACAGGAGAGCCCATGTTCCTGGTGTCTACTCTATTTCTTGCTCCTCCTGTCCTCTTTAATACTTTGGAGAAACTGCCCGATCTCTTTCTGACAGACTTAGGGAGCACAAAAATAGTGTTAGGCTTGCCGACACTAACAATGCTCTTTTCTGTCACGTCAGAGATCACAGCCATCCTATAGAGTGGTCTGCTAAAACTGTCTTCCCTACTTCCAACTTTAACAGTCGCCGTCTTGTTGAATCCTCTCTAATACACAACTTTCCTTGTATGGATCTTAGTCCTGGCTTCGTCTCTGTAGATGCCTTCCTCTCCCACTACATTGTAAAATGCTCCAAACTTCAGAACACCCGTGACTTAACCTGATTCCTCATTTTTTCTTCTTCCCCCTCTTCCCCTTTCCTCTTTCCTTTTTTTGTCTTTCTTCTGTCGCGTGTTTCTGTTCCTTCATTATTTATTTCATCACTTCCCCTTCCCCCCACCTCTGTGCACTTGCTCTCCCTCTGTGGGGATCTAGCTCCCTTGCAGTGCTCCCCTTTCTTTATATTTGACTGGCTCTTCCTCCTTAGTTCCCCACTACTACTACTACTACTACTACCTCTTCCTGCCTATATATAGCCGTCCTGCTCCACTTCTGGTGTGACTTTGTAAATGGTCCAAGTCGGACCGAAACGTCGTCGTAAGCTCCTCTCTTCTATGTGCGGGTTATTTGTGTATCGTTCCAGTCACGGTATTGTGTCTTTTTTTGTTGTGATTGCTATTTTACTTGCCTAGCTGTCCTTGTAACGGTTGAGCTCCAGTTTCAGAGCCCACACAGCATTTCATTCTACTGTCAATTCGTAGCTCTTTGGGAGCTGTTGAAATTACTACATGGAATTTGCCCCTTGTTATTTCTTTCCCTAGCACTATCCTCTTTATGTGCCTTCAACATACTGATGCTCATCTGATTGTTCAAATTTCATCTTTTCTTCCTTGTTCTGGTAACTCAGATACCAGTTTAAAATTACCTCTTTGAGGTTGAGGGAGTTGATCTGAAGTTCTAGAGATCGCCATTTATCTCTCCATTGAGAGACGATTTTTCTCATACTTACTTTCAAAACCATCTATGGAAACCTGTTTAAACATAACAGAGTCCGCTTCTTTACAGCTCTTTTGCAGATATATTTTCTAATATCTCTAACTCAACTAGGGTACACATCTGTCATCTCTGTCTTTATTCAGCCTAGACTCGCCCATATTACAGAATCTTTCACTGAATTTTATTTTTTTAGTATCGTAGATATTTTGTCTGTGAGGATACTCTCATTAAATTA